GCCAAACTCTTGATTGCATTTTGTACAGAAATCCATTCATCTTCCCTTGGTATGTATTGTTGGTTAGAACGTTGCTGATTCTGATAGTTGGGAAGTTGACCATCTTGTCTGTGAAATCCTGGGGGTTGAGCAGGCCTTTGATAGTTTCCTTGTTGTGGTGCATTGTTCCAGTTGATCTGTTGCTGATTTCTCCAATTGTTGAAGTTGTTGAATCCCCCTGCATTGTCCTGTCTGACAAACTGGACAGCTTCCATTTTGGAAGGACAGTCATCCAAACTGTGGGATCCATCACATAATACACATACTTCTGCCTTGGATTTGGACAGCTCACTTCTGAGTTTAGTCATTTCGTTCATCATAACAGCCATTTGAGCTTGCAGATGTGTACTGGGATCAAGTTCCATCATCCCTGGCTGTTTTGTACTTGCCCTTGGATCAGATTGCCATCTTGAATGGTTGGTGGTCATATTCTCGAGCAACTGCCTTGCTGCATCAACCGGCTTCATCATAAATACACCACCAGTAGCAGCATCAAGGGAGTCTCTTGTAGTTGGTAGCAGACCATTGTAGAAGATGCTCAGTTGAAGATGCTCTTCCAAACCATGCTGAGGGCATTTTCTGACCATTTCTTTCAAGCTTTCCCATGCTTCATAAAGTGTTTCTGTTCCATGCTGCTTAAAGTTCATTATTGCTATTCTGAGTTGTGCAGCTTTTGCAGGTGGAAAGAATTTTGTTAGGAAACACTGTCTTAACTGTTCCCAAGTGGAAATGGAGTTGTTGGGTAATGTGTTGAACCATGCTTGGGTGTGATCCTGCAAGGTAAAAGGGAATAGTCTCAATCTAATGTCATCATTAGATAAGCCTTGAATTTTAAAAGTACTGCATAAACGTAGGAAACTTTGGATGTGACCATTAGAATCTTCATGAGGTAATCCATGGAATGGGCAGGCTGATTGAGTCCATTGGATCATCTGTGGCTTGAGCTCAAAATTGGTTGCTTCTACATCAGGGAACACTAAAGGAGATTGGACTTCTTCTTGTTGCTCTGGTTCTACGGATGGTAGCTTCAATTTCTGGGTCAAAAACAGGTTCACTTCGTTGGTGCCTTCTAGTCATACACAAAAGGAAAGAAACTAGAAGCTTAGTGAGGTAACCAGGGGAGAGTTTTATATATGTACAAACAAACAAAAACAACAAATTTTTGGAGGTTTTACGCCATCCCCGGCAACGGCGCCACTTTCTAGTGCGTGCCGAGTTCACCAAAAAAAATATTACTAGCTTGGATTATGAGTTTTGTAGATAATGGAAGCTAGGTCGATCCCACGAGAACAGCTAATTACCAAATTTGTTGTAAAGAAAGACTACCAGTCAGACAAGGTGTCACTCAGGAGAATGTAAACAGTCACTCAGGGGAATGAAGGGCAGGGGTGTTCTTCTCCTCTTCCTACTGTTGTAGTTGTTTTATTAACACTGTAATGGTTGAGTTCTTGTTCATTTTCAGCTCACTTATAACTCTAAGTCAGTTCCCATTTTTCCTAGACTCATCTTTGCAACCTTAACAACCTATTTTCCAATGATTGATTCAGCTACAAAGTCATTAAGTTCTTAGGTCTTCAAGAATGCTTATGTTAACTAAGTATATTCCTATCTTAGTTAAAACCATAGACTGTTACCTCTATGTCATAAGTTAAAGTTGAAACAATCCAAACCAAGTTTATCCTTCCAGATCTCCCTTAGTTCTAGCATGCATTCAATTTAGTGATCAAGTAAATGAATGTAGAAAAACTTTCAACCATAAAACAAGGAACAAAACCAGTGCTTTGACAACTACAACATCAGTTGAGGAGAATAACCCATGGGAACTGTTTAGCTACTCATACAGATTAATGCTACATCTACTACATCAAAAGACATCATAGAAGTATACATAGTAAACAAAGTTCAAGCTAACAGTCAAGAGATGAGAAGAAAGCTTGTGCAGTTTCTGAGTCACTCCTGGGAGTGAAAGGGTTCACTCGTGGAACTGAAGAAGAAACTGGGTTGCTACTCTTCAACTTGGCTTCCTCCTGGAGTTTTTCTGGGTGTTTTTTTTTAGCAACTGAAAGGGTAACCAGAGATTGAGAGATGGATCCCATTTGAGAGTGCAGTTCCCTCTTTTATAGGGCCTTGCAGCCGGTGTCTTCATCATGAGAGCCTCCCCATGCTTGGAGTTGTTTAATCCTCCCAATGTCTTGAGCCTGCAATCCAACTTGGCCATTCCTTTTCTCTCTTCCAGTAGTGGCCGTCTTGCTATCATTGATCAGCAGTGGTGGCTAAGATTGTGGCTGGGGGACAAACATGCCTCTAGGAGGAGGCAAGGTCATTAATGACAAGATGCTTCTTGTCTAAGGGCCTTCTTCTTCGTCCAGCTCAGCAACCTTGCCTCAGCAGCCCATAAATTGTTCCTTTGGCTTCCAATTTTCAGCAATTATTCAATCCAGCCCTTACCTAACAACAACATGAAAATGAGTTAAGTAAATTGCACCAATGTTAGGAAATACCCCCAATTTTGTATCAATTACAAAGTTAATTATGATGCTTTTATGTAACAATTTAGCCATTATCATGTGTCTAGATATGTCAATCGAATATGTTGCCTTCGTGGCTTGGAATCAGGTATGCACGAGTAATAAAGAGGGAGCCGGGAGGGCTTAGTACACAAGACTTAGAGTTGTTGACCATACATGCTTGCTGTGACAAATTGAAGAAATTTGGGAATTAGTTCTACAGAAAGGTAATTTGGGGGATAGTTATTATCGGGAGGTCGAGGGTTCGATTCTTACTAGAGCCGTCTAATTTTTATTTTTTATTTTTAAAAAAGAAAAGATAATATATATGTGGATGAAATGGATTCATGGTGTGTATTGGATGAAATCTAACATTTGGATGAAAGAGCTAAAGGTGAGTCCGGTTGGCATTGGAAAAAGATATTTACTCGTACGTGCAAATCATGCAAAGGAAATTTGGTGTTTGAGCAATATATTTACCTTTCACATCTAAACCTATGAAATCATATTACAACCCTCTTCTCCCTGAAATCATATAACAGTCCTCTGAAATCAAGCAAATCAAAAATTCTGTTTTGCTATTGTCGTAATTAATCTTAACAAAATTTTTATATTTAACATTTGAACAAGGCCAAAACTAGCTTTTGATTACAAAAGTTAGACATAACTCCTCTCTAAGTCACCAGAACAAATTAAATAGTTAGTTTTGACCACCATTATTTTTTTATTTAATACTTTGTGTCTTCCGTAAGTTTGAAATGGTAAACTAACAGAATATTATACTGGAATATTGTAATTAACAATTGAGTCCATAATTTTCAGAAAAATTCATTCGCCACTCAAAACTTTAGTACTACAATAATCTATTTTATTTACTGATATTTTAAATATTTTTTTACTTCTTTAATTCTCTTTTTCAATTTTCTTGTTTATAATAAGATGAAACAAAAATTTTAGCTCATTAGTAGAAAAAAATGAAAATTTTTACACTTGAAATTATATCACATTGTTCAAATAATGGATTATAATTTAAGTAAAATGTTTAACTCCACTATAATAGGCGTTCTTTATAAAACCTAAACCCAAGAGTGTAATAAGGAGAATGGTATCGGATCACCCGATAAGATTAGTTATTGTCTAATATTAACAATATAAGAAGAATATTAAAATCAATTCTCTTAAGTTATTGTCTAATATTAATAATATAAAATTTAAATTGAAGAAATTCAAAGAGATTAGAGTCTAAGGTTATAAATGGTTAAGTTTTTATTGAGAAAATGAAATTGTTTCTGCAAAAAATAAAAAAAATAAAAAAAAGAAAAAGAAGAAAAAGAAAAAGTATATTTGTCAAAACTAAATAAAGTGACTATGTAAATATAGGTTTGAATAAACTAAAAAAGGGTGCATATAAAAAATAAAAATAAAAAAATGAAAGCAAAATCATGTTAAAAAAGTAAAAGGAAAAAAATTTGACTAAAATTTTAACAATCTTTTTGCTATAGGACTCAAGTTTTGAGTTACAAATTTGATTTCCATAAATTTTATCGGCTCAATTGTTATATTTTAGAATAATATTCTGGTAGTTTATCATTTTGCCTTTAAGAAAAAACACAAAGTCTTAGAATAAAAAGTAATGGAAGTCAAAATTAATTATTGAGCCTAATTTTGATGGTCAAGAGTGAATTTCATCTTTGAACCGTCTTAATAATTTTAGTCTTTGGACTCTGGGTCTGAAATATATAGTATCTAAATGAAATGATTTAAGAGAGATGATTAAGCAGCCATTCAAGTTTAGGAAAAGCTAATTAAAAACATACTAGACTTTCTTTCTTTTTGTTGTTCCTATGAGTAAAATGTGGTACTTCTCGTCCCAAAATTATTGTGTAATTTAGATTTTCACTATTAGTACAATTTAAACTAAAAACTAAACGTCTAAACTAAATAATAATTTTGAAATTGATGGAGTATTATTTTATGAAACATCTACCATTAGCAAACAAAAGAGGTTCCAAAGAAACACATAAACTACTTTATATTTAGTCAAGAAGATGACAAACGGTATAACCCCAAAGTTGTGTAGAAACAAACGAGAAGTTTTCACAACAATATATCTTAGACATCATAAGCTTTCTTTCTTTTTTGGGAATAGAGAGACATCATAACCTTTCTTCAGCACAACCACAATTATAACCATTATGGCCAAGACAAGTAATGAAGGTCCTAGAGGATTGTTGGCAAATGCCTGTATTAGTATCATCATTCGCCATCTGTTCCACCAAGCAAAATCTGGAAGTAGTAAATCACGGTAAATTTGGTGATGGACTTCACTACTGCAATACTGCAAGTCAAAATCCTAGTTATGGGATTGGATTCCCCATTGTCATCAGCTCCAAATGGTCGATCTTGCACCTGAGTAGGTCTTGGGAAAAGAATATCACTTCCAGTCAACTCATTTTAACATTGATCATCAACATTAAAAGCAGCAGTATTTTGTGACTGTATATACTCATGAACAGCAGGATTAAGCATCATTGCATTCCACACATTGGGATCGCATGCGATGGAAGCAACAACATTCTGAACCACAGGGTTTTCATTCAAAAGCTTGAATGCTTGCATTGCATGGTTTGGAGTCGACGAAACAATAACCTTCTCACTTCCGAGCAATGGTTTGGAATCCCATTCGTCAAAATGTGGCGACATGGGTGAAGACATATAATAAGCCTTGTCAAGAACGTCTTTGACCTCGGAAATGGCTTCTTGGCCTTCATCAATCGACGGGGCGGAACCAAACACGAGCTTCGACAACATGTCTTGGTTAAAGCCGGATAATTCCCACTCCTCGTATTCCCAACACGGTCGATGTGCAGATAGTTCAAATCCCTCGGAGGTATCTATCTTCACGGTGTTCGTCGACGTTGAGCACGACATCATAGACGGACGATTAACTACTTTATGCGAAGTAGAAGAGACAGAGTGGTCGAGAACAACAATACGGAGGCCATCGTTGGGAAAGCCAGCTCCGGCAGCTTCGGGCGTTGTTCTCATGTCGTTCCTGTACCCTTAATTTTTGTTTGTATATTTTGTGATCTGAAACCTTATCCGAGGCTTTTTTTTGTTTTAGTAACAATAGTGTCCGAGGCCTAAATAATCAAAACTCAGGTATACATGGTCGAATGTTTCATTCTATTTATAGGGTATACGGTTGGATGAAAAGTTTCCAAATACAAACAGAAGTCAAAGTCGGATTTAACTTCCTAATACTTTTCTACTAAAAATAAATTTATTATAAATAAATAATTACACATGATAAAATTATTTGGAAACAACAATAATAAAATTCTATAATAAACAGGGAAACTATAAAAAAATCCTTTCCCTATTTGAAACCGGCAAAGTATGCCTTCGTTGACGTAGTCGTCAACTGACAGCTTTCTCGACGTCTGGTGTCTTTTTCCTTTCGACCTCCTTTGATCAACTAGAAAGTCGACGTCCAACTGTCAACTTAATTCCGACTATATGTTTGTCAAAAGTTTCAACTTCTTCCCAAATTAAACATGGAATCTATGGAGTTGAGTTTCAATTGAGAGCTTGAACATAAAAGAACAATTTTCTTTAACATTTCATTTAGTTTAATTTTTCATGATCTCGTAACGGGATCTTGAACCACACATGCGCTCGAGCTTGAACTTGATTTTGAGGTTTAACATCTCAATCTCCTCGAGGTTGATCACCTTGGATGTCCACCTGTTCCTTGGAAGGTTTCATCCTCAAATCCAAATATTGTATAGCCTCAACATCTGAAAAATCAAAAGGAGATAATTAACCAAGAAACATTAGAAATTGCACTTATATTATACTCACCAGGAATGTCAAGTTAAGTAATATTGTTCAAATGCTTAACAACTTGAGATGGAACATTGACATGAGGGTCAAGTTTTTTATTTAACCTTAGTATGAAATCAAATCTTTTGAAATGAACCTAAACTCAATGACTCGGTTCAAATATCACTTTATTCGAGATATTCATGTGCACCTTCTTATAGAGGAGAACACACAAATTCAGTTTTCTCGCTTTATTTCCATCAAGATCTCATAAACATGCAATAGAAATAAGTCTTTAGGAGTTAATAGATTAAAAGAAGAAACAAAAACCAAGAATATTGAGTAGTAGAATTCAAATGCAACACAAGTATAAGAAATTTCATCAATTGGCAAGTATGCTTTGCAATTTGCAATTCAATTGGATCAAAATATGAAGCAAAACTAAGATTCCGATTGACGAGCTCCGTCTCACCATCTGTTTGAGGATGAGCGTTCATTGAAAACAACAACTTTGCATCTAACTTTTTGCACAAGATTTTTCTAAAAACAACTTAAAATTTTAGAATTGCTATCAGATACATTATTTTTAGGTAAACCATTTAATCGAACAATCTCGCGCATAAATAAACCAATTACATGTTAGGCATTGTCAGATTTACTTCAACAAATAAAATGTGCAATTTTAGAAAACCTATAAAATATAACAAATAATGAATGACACCCTCATTGTGACATAGGTAAACCCAATAAAATCCATTGAGATTCCAGTCCAAGTGTGAGAATGGGTAAGTAGAGGCATATATAACCTATGTGGCTGTGACCTAGACTTAGGTTGGTTACATTAAGTCAATTTTAACAAAGTTTTTCCACATCTCGCTTTGCATTAGGTTAATGAAATTTATCAATAAAACATCATATGTCTTTAAAATACAAAGATGACCCATGAGACCACCATTATGAGATTGACCCATGAGAAATTCATGCAAAGAACAAGTAGACGCATATAATCGATTAATTTTAAAACAAGTAGCCATCATGCTTACAAAACTTGTTAAACCCTTCACTTTCATATGCTTACAGAATTGATGAATGTTAGAATTAGTAGCATAAAGATGCTTAAAGATTTTAATCTCTAACATCTAACATCAAGCATAAAAAATACATATGATCTATGAAACAAAGCATCAATTCTATTTCGCTTTAATTCTTGTACTCAATGACGTAATAAAAAAACACAAGAAACGCACTCCACTTAGCGTGTCCCTTATTTAGTTTTTGTCCTTGTCAATATTTCAAAGATTTGTAATCACCATGGATAACAAACTCTTTTAGAATTAAATAATTAATGTTGTCAATTTTCTAAAGATTATAGCACACAATACCTTATTATAAGTATGATAATTTAACGATTCAAAACTTAAGTTCTAAGAAAACTACACAAAAGACTTACCACCTTGCATTAACACAACAATGATACCAACACCAGAAGCATCACACTCTATTTCAAAAGTAAGATAAAAATTAATTAAGTAACATAAGAACATGAGCAAATTCAAATCATTCTTCAAAGTCTTAAATGCAAGTTCTTATTCTTCGCCCCATTCAAACCTAAGATTCATATTTACTAAGTGATTTAAGGATGAGCCTTAGCAGGGAAATCTTTCACAAACCTACGATATAAACTAGTCAAACCATGGAAGGAATGAATGCTAACGACAAACTTATGAGTCAGCCATTCTTGAATTACCTCAACCTTAGTCTTATCAACCTTAACACCATCAATTCTAAAAATAAAACCAAGGAACACAACTTCCATGACACAAAAAGTATAATTAGAAACTTTAGCGGAAAATTTATTTTCATGTAAAGTGGGAGTACAACTGAAAGATGCTTAGCATGCAAAACATCATATCTGCTATGCACAAAAATATCATTTAAAACAACAAACTTTTCTGTAAAAGGTCTAAGCACGTGGTTCATAAGTAACATAAAAGCACAAGTAGCAGTAGTACAACCGAAAGGCATAACCATCTACTCTAACAAACCAAAATTAGGTTTAAGAAGTGGCTTTTTATTCATCACCTTCTTTCACGAGAATGTGATGATCTCCACTAGCAAGATCTATTTACGAAAATATAAATGCACCACATAAATTTTTCAAAATGTCATCTAATCTAGATATGTGATGTCTATATTTTATAGTAATTTTTTCCACAACACAAAAATCCACACACAGATGCCAAATTCCATCATTGTTAGGAACTAAAATAGTCAAATTCATCTTGTAGTTCTTTGGTATCTTCCAAATTTGCCTTGTATGAAGGATGATTTCAAATTACCAAACTAGGGATAAAATCAAATTGATTTTTAATCCCCTCAAAGGTGGACGAAGATCAAGAACTCTTCCAGAAAAACATCATCGAAGCATAAAGAACAAGAGTTCAGTGATTATTCAGAGCCCTACCGAGGTCTCCATGGAAGCATAAAAGTTGTATTTTTTCTCCCCAGCCTTCGTGTTTTCACTCTCTCTCTTTCTTTCATCCTCTCCCATCTCCATTTCTCTCTTAATCTTGACTTTTGTCAGTCAAAATTCTTTCTCTCTCCCCCCGCCCCCTCTCTCTCTCTCACTGATAAGGTTGATATTATCAGGACATTTATGCTTGTTTACGTGTTATTTTCAATAGTATCCATGCTAATATGTGTGTTTTGTGCTTAAATTTCTTCCATATCCCATGTGCATACCTCCGATTGGATTCCTTTTTCCCTTTTGATTTGGGTGACCTGCTTCATCCCATTTCTTTGTTTAGGTTGAGTGTGGTTCCTTCAAGTCCGTCGACATCAGCAAGAAAATAAGCTGCCGCGTGGAATTTGGTAGTTGAATGGGTTGGGTTTTCATCCTCTCTGCCCGTCCATTCTCAAGGCTTGTGGCCATCGTTTCATGTGGGTTTTTGTGAACTTTAAATTGCCAGCTTCCCATTGACAAATTGAGGATTTCTACTCATGGTGAGGTTAATAAATATCTTTCTCTTTCCAAATGTATCCTCCAAAAGCAGCACTCTTTACAAATCAAAGCTTTGGGTTTTGCCATACCAAAAGCAATAGCCACGGGGAATTGCTTCAAGGTCACTTCAAGGGTCTTCAACACAATTTAACCACTTCTATGACTTATGAGATTGCCACTGTTTTAATAACTTTGAGCTTAGGTGCATCTCAAGAACGGACATCTCAAAATAGTGGTTCCCGTCGGAAAGGTAAAAGGAAGGAAAAGATTCATAGTAATGCACATGAAATCTGTGCTACTAAGCCGGGAGAGCAGAAGGTCTGGAGAGAAGTACACAAATCCAAACCTAGGAGAGTTCCTGTGCGGGATAATATTTATGGTTCGATATTAGCAGCACCAATAGATTTGGTTAATGATGTCCAAACTAAATCTAAGGTAGCACAAATGGCTGTCGGTCAGTGGAACACAACCGACCTGCCATTTAACAGCAAGGCTAGAGCTCATTCCATTGGTTTTCGAAAACAGATGTCAGGAGGATCCATCAAGAAGTGGAAACATTTATCTCATAAATCATTCTCAGCTGGCCTTTCAAGTTCTTGCCATTTGTTACTTGGTATCACAAGGAAGTTTCACGAGGTGGATCAAACATATGTCATCATCGATTGGAAATCACAATCTGTCACGAAAAAGAGATTGGTATCATATAGCAGCCAAGGTTCAAGGGAGTTTGACACTAATCAGACTAGGGACACAACAATTTCAGAGTACAATAAGGTGACACCTCCAGCAGCAGCCTTTTGTAGCTTATTGATTCCTCCGATGACTAGTAATTTCTCTAACATTATGAAGTGTTTTGTGACGGTTGAACCAGATCAATTGCCTTTGTTTCAATAAATATCCTTTCCTGGAATTGTAGGGCATGAACAATGCCTTCTCTAAGCATATATTAGGTAGATTAGTTAAGAATTATAAGCCTAGTATTGTGTTTGTGATGGAGACCAAGGCTAGTAAGGTTAATGTTTTGGCTTGGCAACAATCTTCTATTTTTAAAAACTCAGTTGTAAAAGATCACGTAGGACTTAGCGGTGGGTTGTGTCTCTTTTGGGTAGATGGTATTCAGTTAAGTGTGCTCTATCAGAATGCCAATGTAATAGTTACTAAGGTTAGGAAAAGTACTGGCCTGGAATGGTTGGCAGCAAGGAAGGGCTGAATTTTGGTCACA